GCAGCTGGAAAGAGCCCGCTGTTGAAAGCAGGCAGTGAGATTTGAGGAGATTTGATCAACATGTTCAAGTACCTGAGGGGTGATTGTAGGGAGGATGGGGCCAGGCTCTTCTCCGTGGTGGCTGGTGACAGGGCAAGGGGTAATGGGTCCAAGTTGAAACACAAGAAGTTCCACCTCCATGTGAGGAAGAACTTCTTTCCTGTGAGGGTGACAGAGCCCTGGCACAGGCTGCCCAGAGAGGCTGTGGAGTCTCCTTCTCTGGAGATCTTCAAACCCACCTGGATGCCACCGTGTGCCCCTGCTCTGGGTGTCCCTGTTGGAGCAGGGGGTTGGACTAGGTGATCTCTAGAGGTCCCTTCCAACCTCAACCATTCTGGGATTCTGGGATTCTGAGGCTGCATGGAGCCTTGCCAGTCCCCTGGGGCCAGCTGGACAAGAGCTGGGGACGCTGCCTCGTGCCATCCAAACTGAGCAGACGTGGGGGGACAGCACCCCATGAGCTGGGTAAAGCTGCGTTTGTGCTAGCACTTTTCTGTGATTTCCGGCTTTTTCTTCCTGTTACGTGGAGGGGTCCATAGACCCATAGAGGTCCCTTCTCTGTGCAGGTGGTGCCGCCCTTGCCTCTGCTTTGGGCATCTCCATGGCCCTTTTAGTGCTTCCTGCTCATTCCCGCCTGGGGTGGCTGTATCAGGCGCACGATGGAGTATGGTGTGGAAAAAAAAAGAAAAAAAAAAAAGGGATTTCTGTCCAGCAGGGTTGGTATAGACCGTACTGGGACCGAATGATGGGGTTTGCAGCCCTGGTCAGGAGGTGCCTGGTGACTCCGGCATCCTCGGGGCCGGCCTGGGCACCGGGGTTAGTGCTGGGATTTGTCCTCGCGTCCTCCCTCGCTCCTCTCTCCTCTCTGGCTGGAGCAGGGGCAGCCGGTGCATGGAGAGGATTTCGCCTCCGTGTCACAGCTTCTGATGTCCCCGGGGATGTGGCCTCTGCTGCAGCCACCGCCACCTGCGTCCTTGGGCTGCACCCACCTCCGTCATCGTCTTTGCAGAAAAGTTGCCCTTTTTCAGGTCGAAAAGTCACTTTGCTCTCCCTGGATCTTCCCAGCTCCCTCCAGCCATCCCCAGGGTGGGTAAAAGATGGATCACCCTGGCCGGTGCTTTTGGTACCCTTGGATGCAGGCGGCCTCCTCTTCCAGGAGCATCCTGGAGATGTGCGTGGCCAGGCAGGAATGGACCTGCCTCCCGGTGTCACCTTCCTGTCACCGTTACGTATCTAAAGCTGCTGTCAATGTGTCTTCAACCTCTTCTAGTCTCAAAACTGGCGCTTTCAGGTCACCTTGGCAGCAGCTCTGACTTGCTCTGTCTTGTTGGGAGCTCCTGGGAGGTCATCGTGGTTGAATCGCTCTGCCCAGAACGTGGTCCGTCCAGCCATGACCACTGACAGTGGTGGTGGGAGGAAGCATTGGTGCTTCTTTAAAGGGACTGTGGGGTCTCGCTCCATCAGCCCGGGCTGTGGGTGGCACGTGGCTCTTGGGGCACACAGCCACCGTGTCCTGCCGCGTGGTGACCTCCTTGCGTGCAAGATGGGGTGGACCAAAGTCATAGGAGCAAAATGCCTGAGGGCTTCTCCCACAGCGCGTGTGGCCTCCCGTGGGCACCTTCTTGGGTGCCAAGGATGAGCAGGGCCATAGGGACAGTGGCACGGGCTGAGGTTCGGGGCCGGCTCCCGCTCACGCTCTGCAGGGACGAGGCAGTGACATGGGGGCATCTCCACGTGCCGCTTTCCGCCACCTCTCCGCTCCGGAGCCGGCGGAGCCGTTTCCAGGCGGAAAATCAATACTTGGAAAATAAGCATAAGTATCATACCTGGCTCTTATTGGGAAGTTCTGAGCTATGTCTTTCATTACCTTTAAGGCATCATAAACAGGGGTAGACATAATTCGAGCAGCTGCTTGAAAGCTAAGATCTAGAAAAAAAAAAAAAAAAAAAACACACTGGCTTCTCCTCTTTGGGTCTTCCCGGATGCAAATCCAGGGAGAGCCTTCCCAGTGTTCCCGCTCCGTGGGCACCGCGCTCCAAGAAGAGGCGATCCCCTGCTTTGTGGGGACAGCGCGGCTGCGCGGTGCCGTCCCGTGGCGTTCCCGAGTTCTCCTGGTGCCGCCGATCCCGGGAATATTGGGGCCTGGTGTCCTGCCGAGCTGCGCCTCCTCCAAAACGGGGCAGGAAAAGGGAAACTTCCCGGAGCATCTTAGCTTCTTTTCGTGGGAGAAACGAGCTTGGTGTTGCAAGGGAGGGTGATTTTTAAGTGAAACCTCAACTTTTTTGCAAAAAAAACTTTTTTTGCAAAATTGGAACTGCTTCCTCTTGCAGCTCAGGTTGGTGGCAGCCAGAGCATCCTGCGCCCGCCTGTCCTTGTTCCTCTGTGTGGATTTGCAACCCTGGGGTGTTTTTGCCAGCTTTTCTTTCCCCATTTGGGCATCACAACCCATCTCTGGGATTTGTCCCAAACCCTCAGATGACCACATGTTAGCGAGGAGCTTCCTTCACAGCCGTCTGCTCCCCAAGGGTTATGTGGTCCTGCAAGTTTTGCACCTTCTCTGGGCAGAGGTGGAAGCTGGAGATAGGGCAGAGGAGCTTGTGGGCTCTCTCCCTGCTGGAAAAATCAGTAGGAAAATGCCCTATGCTTGGGAACGAAGCGGAGCGGCCTTGTGTCGAAGCAATCGCTGTGATCTCATCGCTGGATGTTACTTTTATTCCCATGGGCGCCTCTTTGCTTTGGAGCAAAAATCAAGAGGTTCGGGGTAGGGGGAAAGCACCGTTTGGGTGCATCTCCCATCCCCATGGGGATGGGGGTGGCGGGGGTGTTTTTTGGGGTGCTTTGCCGTGTTTTGCCCATCCCTGGGGCCCCGCGGGGCTGCCACGCGCCGCTGCTCCCGCCAGCGCGTTTCGTAACGCCGGGCTGGCGGCGGCGCCGGGGCAGATGTCTTTAATAACGCCGCTTAACGCCCTCCTGTCCCCGTCCCCGGTCCTGGAGCCGCGCCGAGGAGCCGAACGCGCTGCGTCGGAGCGGGGGCTGCGGCGGGGGGGGCGCCGCCCTTCCCTCTGCCTCGTGCAGGGAGCAGCAGCCCTAAAAAACAGCCCGGAGATCTCGGGGCAGCTTGGCAGCGGGGGGTTTTGCACCAGGGTCCTGGCGGGGTGGAAGGCGGGATGGAGACACGGGAGGGAGCTGGGTGAATTCGCCCTCTCCCTGTTTATCCTGTGTTTGCAGTCCCCAGGTTTAGAAAAGGCCCTTTGGAGAGGAGCTGGGATTCCCGGGAGAGACGGGGGATCCAGGACCCGATGAGGGGACCTACTGGTGTCCCAGCACTCTGTGACATTGGAGCTGGCCACCATCCTATGGATTTTTATCCACCATCCTCCTCCCCATACAGCTTTAGACTGCCTTTGGTCGATACATATCAATATATAGAGAGATAGATACAGATATAATAGAGAGAGCTATATCTATATATTTATAAATAACTTCATTATTATTATTACTGTTATTTTTTGTATGAAGAGATGCAGGGAACTTGTTGGATGCTGGGGGAGTTGCGCTTGCTGGCAGCTCCAGGGGCCCAACTGAGCAAAGCTCCCCAAAATTCCCCACTGTGAGGGTGCGACGCAGTCGTTGGTTGCAGACCAGAAATGCAGGGAAAATCATAGAATCACGGAATGCTGAAGGTTGGAAGGGACCTCTAGAGATCATCTAGTCCAACCCCCCTGCACATGCAGGGTCACCTAGAGCACGTGGCACAGGGCTGCGTCCAAGCGGGTTTGGAAGATCTCCAGAGAAGGAGACTCCACAACCTCTCTGGGCAGCCTGTTCCAGTGAGCACCTCATCCGTATGCTGAAAATGAACACTTCATCCGTGTGCTGCTATTGAGCCCTGGGGCGTCCCCCTTGGCAGCTTGTGCCTGGGAGGGGATGGCTTCCCCCTCGCTGCTCGCGACCCGGCAGGAAGGGCTCGACCTGTTTCTAAGGCCTCCTCTTGGATTTCCACCTCCTGAGGCCAACCAGCCAAGCAGAAGCCGCTTAAGGTGACAGACCCTCAAGGTGGAAAGTGGTGGCAGCCCCAGGTAATTAACGCGTTTCCTTGGTCACTCTGAGGTCTGGGGAGAGTGTGCTGGTCTCATCCCTCATCATCCTGCTACCGTCTCGTGTGCTCCTTGGAGCACTTTCTTGGCTGGGGTCCTCAGCAGCCAGCTGGGTCTCGTAGCTGGTGTTTTTCTTGGTTTCCTGGTGTATCGTTACCACCGTGTCACGCCTCGCTGCTGGCCCGCGTCGCAGCGAGCTGCGGTAGGAGAGCGCGGCAGCGAATGCGGGTCCTGCCGGCTGCGCGGCCCAAGTGACAGACAAAAGCTCTCGGCCGCTTCCAAGGCCCCTCTCCTGCGCCCCAGACGTGCCTCTCGCTTTCTTCGGTGGTGTCTTCTCCAGCGTGTGTTTTGCCAGCATCTCACATCTGGGGGTTGAGTGATTGCTCCAAGCCGTCCCGGCTCTGTTTGAGGCCAAGGCTAAGTTGCTGCCATGTGTGTTTGTTGCTCGGTGTCCATGGTGACGTGGGGCTGGCACCCCCCGCTCCGTCCCGAGGGGGAATGGGGATCTGCTTTCCCATAAAACACCCCCATGTGTGTCCCAAGGCCTTGGCCACTTCAGCACACGGTTTCTGTGGTGGAGTTAGCCTGCAATTCCTCTCTCTGTTCCTGGAAGGGACAACAGGCTTCCAGCAGGGCAAGTCACTCTTGCCCATCCATGTGTTGAATTTTCTCTCCCGGTGTTGACTGGACTCTAGAAGGCGGTTGGAGTTTCTCCATGGGGTTCTCCGACCGTTAGGCTGGTGGTCCCTGGTGTACCTGATGTCTGGGCTATGTGGAGTTGGAAAGGTGGGATGACAGGACGGGTGTTTTCCTGGGAGAGGGGCCATTCTGAACTGCTTGATTTCTTCTTTCTCTGCAGCTGATAGTTGAAAAGACAACTGACTACCCTTCGGCCGAGTACTCCCTGGTGGAGGATGTAGCCCTCCACTTCACGTGTTTGATGGACAGACTGAATGAGCAGCGCCTCTTTCAGCCTGACCTGTGCGACGTGGACATCGTGCTGGTGCAGCAGAAGAGCATCTTCCCAGCGCACAAGGGGGTCCTCGCCGCCTACAGCCAGTTCTTCCACTCCCTCTTCACCCAGAACAAGCAGCTGCAGCGCGTGGAGCTGTCGCTGGAGGCCCTGACCTCGCAAGGCCTCCAGCAGATCCTCAACTTCATCTACACCTCCAAGCTGCTGGTCAACTCCTGCAATGTGCAGGACGTGCTGAACGCGGCCGCCGTGCTGCAGATGAACAACATCGCCTCCTCCTGCCAGGACCTCCTCGACACCCGCTCCCTGAGCCTGGCCATGGCCAGCGACATGGCCCTGCCTCCCGAGGGCTGCGCCAGTGCCGTCCCGCCACCCTACTACTGCGAGATCAAGCAGGAGGTGGATGCCCCACACGCCAAGATCTACGCCCGCGAAGGCAACGACCCCTTCTCGGTGCGTGTGGAGGACGGCGCGGGCGGCGGGACCCTCCCTGCTGTGCCGGCCAAGCAGTACTACAAGGAGGAGAAGGACGGCGGTGCGGCCGCCGTCTGTAAGATGGAGGGCGAGGAGTCCGAGGAGGACCTGGACAGCCAGGGCTCGTACAACCGGGAGCAGATCATTGTGGAGGTGAACCTCAACAACCAGACCCTCAACGTCTCCAAAGGGATGGAGGGGAAGGCAGCCGGCAGCGAGCCTGCTGCCGCGACTGCCGCGGTCATGCGGCCTGATGGCGACGGCCGTGACACTGAGGAGGACGGGGAAGAGGAGAACGAGGAAGGGGATGAGGAGGAGGAAGAGGAGGAGGATGCGGAGGTGGGGGAAGAGGAGGAGGAAGAGCACAGTGAGGAGGAAGACCTAGAGGAGACAACGGAAGAAGAGGAGGAGGAAGATGATGATGAAGATGCAGCAGAGGTGAAAAGGGAAAAGAGCGGGCAGGCCCGCAGAACCAGCCGGGCATCTAAAGCCACCAAATCTGCCATGGCTACCAGGTCCCAGGAGATGGCCAAGGCGGAAGAAGAAGAGGAGGAAGAAGAGGAAGGCCAGCGAGGGAGGAAGAGAAAGAAGGAGCAGGACGGGTTGGGCCAGAAGGTGAAGCTGGAGGAGAAACAGCACTACCCGTGCAAGAAGTGCCCGCGGGTCTTCAACAACCGCTGGTACCTGGAGAAGCACATGAACGTGACGCACAGCCGCATGCAGATCTGCGACAAGTGCGGGAAGCGCTTCCTGCTTGAGAGCGAGCTGCTCCTGCACCACCAGACCGACTGCGAGAAGAACATCCAGGTGAGATGGCCCCTGAGGGCATCAGCACAGCCCCCCCAGCCCATGGGGGGGACCCCAATGCCCAAGTAGCTGCTGTGGCCCCTTGGTGGTGGCCACAGAGCCTACCACGATGGTGAGGGCATTTTGGATGGGTTCAGAAGGGTGGAGGTGACCGTGTTTTGCAGGTGACCTGGATTTGGGGGCTGATATTTACCCAAGTTTAAACCCATTTAGCTCAATTTGAAAAACTGATGATGAGTTAAAGTGGTTTTAATCTGCTTCTTATTCCCTTTTGCTTGCACGTTAGCTAATTTCCAAGTGAAGCGAAGGCGCTGGGAAGTCCTTGCGGGGCTTGGGCCAGGTGTGGTCTCTACCTCACATCTGCTTCTTATTCCCTTTTGCTTGCACATTAGCTGATTTCCAAGTGAAATGAAGGCGCTGGGAAGTTCTTGCGGGGCTCGGGCCAGGTGTGGCCTCTACCTCACGCTTTAATTAGATCCAGACCTGGATTTTCAAAGCAAGTTGGTTGAAGCAGCTCAACCCTTCCGGGCCAGACAGGCCTTAGGTTTTTTTTCCACAGGGAGGAATGTGTTGGCTGTTGCTGTTGCACTGTGGCACCGCAGGTGACCCAAAGCGGTCGGGAGCCAAGAAAAGTTTGATTTATTTTTTGCTTCCCTGGGCACACTACAGACGTCCTGGGGGAACAGCAAAACGCTGCATTCCTTCAAAATCCTCCGGCTAATCTTCTAATCCCTGCTGGACTCTTTCGCACGATGCTGTCACTGCTAATAAAAAAAATAATAACCTCCTGGAGGGCTTCACACATGACCCTGGTAGCAGCCAAGGGGTCTAGTTTTAAATGAACCCAGCCGTGATCTTGTAGCTCTCGTTGATGAAGCAACGATGCAGTTAAAGCTCTTGACCCCATATGACCCAAATCTAATGGATAATGAAGTTGGCGATCGTGGTGGTAAACATGCAGAGGTGGGAGTGGTTTTGTTTGAGGCATGGTGACCCCAAGCCTCATATCATAGCCGGGGGTGGCATCAGCGTTGCAGAAGGGATCCGTGTGTCGTGTGCTCCTCTGCCGTCGTTGCTGCTTGGAGACGCAGGTTGCCCTCATGTTTTGGGGGTGTCGGGAGATGTTTCTGCCAGGAGCTGCTCCCAGCCACATGCTGTGGCGAGGACTCCCGCGGGCTGAGCGTGCATCGTGTCAAGTAATTGTTCTGTTGTGATTTTTTCCATCTTGTGATGTCCCCAGGCCTCGTAATACCAAAGGATGGACCTCCGGGGAGCTTCTTCTTTGTTCTCATTATTTTATACCCATCTGCCACGTCCTGCCTTGGTCACTACTTTAGTAGATCCACATGGATGTATTTTTACTTCCTCCAGAAGCCGTTTAAAGTCTCCTTTTGTCCCGCTTCTCTGTACTTTTCCGGGTTTCCCCAAATCCTTTCTGAAGTCAGGAGCTCTCTGCAGATGCCCAGACCTTTTCCCGAGCGTTGCCGAATGCGGTGAACTGGAGCTGCCTCCGTGGTGACCTCCCTCCCTGGAGAACATGGATCATTAACTTCCCTTTAGCCATGCTTTTTGACTGCAGCAGTAGGAGCCGGATTCGCTTTGCTTGTGCTGATGGTGTTGAACATCTTTATCGGTGTAACAATACCGTCTATCGCTCAGTGTAAATATATTAATATATATCGATATATACATCCATTTTTTGATGGAATTACAGCCAGACTGTAGAGCAGCATTTCTATTTTGGGGTTGTACCTACAGCAAGCAGCCCTTATGGTTTGTTTTCAAGGAGGTATTTATCCGTGGAAGGACTTTCCTGGGGAGAGACAATGCTGGAAGTTTTTGGAGAGACAAGTAGCCTCCACCTTCCTTGCCAGTGTGGTGCTGCTGCCTTTGAAGGATTCAAAGGGGGATCAGACTTGTCCCATTTTTTTGGTACTAAACTGTTTTTATCGTGATTTTGCTCTTTTTTAGAGTTTCCGTCAGATTGCTGGGGTGTCAGGTGTGTGTTTCCTCCAATTCCCCCAGGAGCCTGTATGTCAGAGAAGGTGGTGCCAGGCTGTCAGACCCCTGGTTCTCCAGGGCCAGGACAGTCTCCAGCTACCTGGTGCAGTGAAGAGCCGGGCTCCTTTGGAAAGTCTGCACAAATGCAGTTTGGGCCTGGGGGCTCTCATTTGCAGATTTGTCCCAAAATCCTGCCCGCTGTGCTTCAGAGTTTTGCCCACATGAAAACAGGGACCTTGGCCCAGGGCTTCCTTTTATTTGAAGGTTTCTCATGTGCCACCACCGTCTGCAGCCCCTGACCTCCTTCATGGGCTTCCTGCTTCTGCTGCCTGGAAGAAAAGGCTTTAGCGTTGGCTTTTATCAAGTTTCTCAAAGTCTTTCTTGGCCTGTTTCAGCGTGGTTTTCCTCTTACCTTGCCAAAATTTATCTGTCTTCTTTTTCCCGTCGTTTCAGTATTACTTCACTGTTTCTGGATGCTGCTTTCCTTGTTTCACCACAGAGTCCCTCAGGATTTTGTGTTGCAGCGATACGATTTGCTGATTGACCTGGATTAACTCTGGGCTTTTTAATATATGACCCTTTAACAATGTATCCCCCATTTCTCTTTCATTTTTTCCATGTTAAGCTGTACCTTGCTATTGCAGGATATCTTCACAACCTGAGCATCTCTGTATCGCCACCACAAAGGTGGTTTTCCCACTCATCTCCTTTATCTCCAGGCTGCCTCCTGTATACATAACTATGAATCTATATTGGGTTTTTTGCCATCTTTTTGGTGCCTGCTTTGTCGACTTCTGCCTGCTCCTTGCTCAGGGACTCAGGGATTTTCCCCAGAGGATGCTCAGTGTGTCTTTGATACCAAACACGGCTTCCAAGTTTGTCCTGAAATGCCTCTTAAAGCAGAGAGAAAACGCTTTGGATCCATAGAAATATCCCCATAGTGACAATAAAACTCAGTGGACTATTCAGGTTAGTATTAAAGTGCTTTGAAGTTAAGAAATTGAGAGTAGGGAATGCCTCCTTCACCCTCATTTTGCTGCTTAAGCACCTAGATTTTCATATACTTGTAAAGACAGGAGCAAACCAGTGTAAGAAACTGTAATCCTATGGGCATGCAATTAAAAGTTGTCGTGTTGCATGCCAGAGAGAGGGAAATTCGGCATTGTGGAGTGCCAGCAGCACTTCACTTTTCAGGAGCATGCCAGAGAGAGGGAAATTCGGCATCGTGGAGGCAAGCACGGTGCCAGCAGCACTTCACTTTTCAGGGCTGCAGCCCAAGGAAAGGAAAGCAGCCCAAGTTGCTGCTTTTCCTAGGGAAAAAGAAATATTTTCAGAGAAATATTGAGCTTGGTTGGAAGGGAAGCAAATCTCCACTGCAGCTTTGTAAGTGCAGAAAACCACAGCACCGTGCCTGCAAAAGAGTGTGGGTGAAATGCACAGCCGAAGGGGAAAGCCAGGGGCCTTGGGGCTGGAGCCTGGGGTTGTCCCCACTCCCGTCACGTCTGCAGCAACGCTGTGCAGGTGCTCAGACACTTCGTGTGCCGCTTCTGATGGACGGAGGATGGTTTTGGAAAATGATTTTTTTGCAAAACAGTTAAGAAGTTGCATTGTCCCCAGCTTGGGTGGCTCCTTGTTTGCATGTGCTTTGCAGCCGTGTGCTGACATGCCGAGTGCTTTCTTGGATATAGTGTCTAAATGGTACAAAAGTGTTAAATTCCCATCTGGGAAGAGGGCTTTAGGGTGTGAGCTGCTGTTTATGCAAGTTTAATGCATCTGTTCCTGGAGAGGCTGTGGTCTTCCCTTAAAACACATCACCTCCCTCCCCATCTGATGGAGACAGTTGGGTTTTGGAGGTTTCGAGGTCACAGGGTTTGTAGGAAACTTGTTGAAACTTGTTGATTATTACATTTAGTGTCTTAGCTTTAGTTGTTTAGAAGGTTAAGTTTTGCAATGAGCTTGCTTTTCACAATTTACTCCTATTTTATCAGAAAACAAAACAAAACAGCAACAAAAAAGACTTTTAAAATCAGCAAAGCCAAAATATTGGCAATACCTCAGCGTTTGGCCAGGCCTGAAAGAAGATGTTTCTTGGACTCATCAAAAGTGCCTCATGACCCTTCCCACCTCCTGCAGCCTCCATGGCCCCTTGTTGTTGTTGTTGTTATTGTGCTCTGGCCTCACTCGTCTCTCTCGTTGCAGTGCGTGACGTGTGGGAAGGGGTTCAAGAAGCTCTGGTCGCTCCATGAGCACAACAAAATCGTCCACGGCTACGCGGAGAAGAAGTTCTCCTGCGAGATCTGCGAGAAGAAGTTCTACACGATGGCCCATGTGCGGAAACACATGGTTGGTGAGTGAGGGGGACGGTGGCACGTGCCAGCGCTGGGCTCCAGCACTCAGCGTGCCCGTGCGTAGCATCATTTACTTGCTCTCCAAGCACCGTCATTTCCTTGCTAATTACTAGATCCGTAGATCCATCTCAGCCAACCTGAGGTCCCTGGTCATCCTCAACTCTTCTGGGCTCCACAGTACAAGAGGGATGTGGAGCTGCTGGAGTGAGTCCAGCGCAGGGCTACAAGGATGATCAGGGGCCTGGAACATCTGCCCTGCGAGGAGAGGCTGAGGGAGCTGGGCCTGTTCAGCCTGGAGAAGAGAAGGCTGAGAGGGGACCTGGGCAGTGTCTAGAAGTACCTCAAGGGAGGCAGTGAGGAGGATGGGGCGGCCTCTTTTCACTGGTGGCCACCAACAGAACTAGAGGTAATGGCCACAACCTGAAGCACCAGAAGTTCCACAGGAACTTAAGGAAAAATTTCTTGACAGTGAGGGTGACAGAGCACTGGAACAGGCTGCCCAGAGAGGTTGTGGAGTCTCCTTCTCTGGAGATCTTCCAAACCCACTTGGACGCAGTCCTGTGCCACGTGCTCTAGGTGACCCTGCGTGTGCAGGGGGGTTGGACTAGATGGTCTCTAGAGGTCCCTTCCAACCTTCAGCATTCTGTGATTCCATGATTCTAACTCCTCCCTGGCCCTTGGAGAGACAGGCGTCCCTGGAGACCAGGCCTCGGTGTCTTTAGTTGCCCTCTGAAGAAGCCTCTCATCTGATGACTGATAAACTCAATTCGTCTTTTCTCCTCCAGCTCTGCTGCGCTGGAAATGCAGCAGCTTCTCGTTCGTTCAGTTATGTGGGTCATGGCTGCTAGGGTTTGCTGAGCCCCGTAAGGAAACGCGGGCGGCTGGGAGATCTCTTTAGGGATTTGCATTTCTCGTTTCAGCAATTAAGGGCGTTTTTCAATCACTGTCACATTGGGAATTTAGGGCTGGAATAACTCTTGGGTGAATTCTCTTCACATCAAAGCCAAAGCCTGGAAATTTGGCATGCACCCTGAAATAGGAAGATGACTTTTTTTTTTTCCTTTATTTTTTTTTTTACCCACTGGTGCCTGGTGTTTAATGTTGAACGTATATCTGCCTGGTTATTGCCTCAGTGCTGTTTTTGGAGTAATTTGCCGCTGTAGAGCAGGCGTGGCACTGGGGAATCTCATTTATTTTATGTAACTGGGGGGAAAAAAATTTAAAAGACCTCAGAAATGATCAAAGGATGGTTTGAAATGTAGCCATCCTTCCCTTGTAAAGGAGGAATAACTGTTGGCAGTGTTGGGCTTTGAGGAGGTTATTGCGCAGCAGTGGCACGTGGTGATGTTGGTTGTGCCTGGAATGAGGCTCTGGCTGCAGCTCACAGGCGGCACCAGGAAGGCCAAAAATGGGATTCTGGCCAACAACGGGGAAGTGTCAACCTGGGGTTGCTCCAGGGAGGCAGGGAGGACACGGGGAGGGCGACGTAGGCGTAACGCTGCTCTGCTCCCTTCCAGCTCATACCAAGGACATGCCGTTCACGTGCGAGACGTGCGGGAAGTCCTTCAAGCGCAGCATGTCCCTGAAAGTCCATTCGCTCCAGCACTCCGGGGAAAAGCCATTTAAATGTGAGGTAGGTGGTGATCTGGGTGGAGGGTGGCTTGGGCTGGCCGTGTTTTGGGGCAATGGGAGCACACTGAGTTGGGAGGAAGGTTCTCCACCCTTCCCATGGAGCTTCCTTCCAAATGGGGGCAGAAATGCTGATTTTAGGAAAGATCTTCCCCTTTTGGGGGCATCCCAGAGGGATATTTTCCTGCAACAGTAGGGATTGTTTTCCCGGTCCCAGCCAGGCTTTGTATCTCTTTGGATCTTGAGGGCCTGCCAACCCTATAATGAAACTGCTCCCTCTGGGTGACATCTGCTGATATCAGGATCTGCTCCTCCCTCTTTGGGAGGAAGGTTCTCCACCCTTCCCATGGAGCTTCCTTCCAAATGGGGGCAGAAATGCTGATTTTAGGAAAGATCTTCCCCTTTTGGGGGCATCCCAGAGGGATATTTTCCTGCAGCAGTAGGGGTGTTTTCCCTGTCCCAGCCAGGCTTTATATCTCTTTGGATCCTGAGGGTCCCACTGGGTCTTGAGGGCCCACCAACCCTATAATGAAACTGCTCCCTCTGGGTAACATCTGCTGATATCAGGATCTGCTCCTCCCTCTAGTGACTGGACAACATATCACAGCTGAAACCCATCTGTTCTTTAAGAGTGAAGCCCAATTTTGTCTTCAGCTGCTAGGCCTAGAGCAGTCTTGGCCCCAGCTCACCAGGGCTGTGCAACCAAGGTGCCAATGGCATCTCTGGGTGCCCATGGTACTGGGGGCCACGAGGTCCAATCCAGCATGGACTAGGCCATTCCCTAAAGTCTGGAGGAAGAGAGGGGCCAGGAATATATCCCCCAAAGCTCTGTATTTGAGCTTTTCCAGAAAAAAAATAAAAAAGAATTCAGCGATGCTGCAGCTGGTGGCTGAAGATACCATGGGCAGATGGGGTAGATGGCAGATGCTTTAGATGCTAGATGAGGGGGGGAAGAGATTGATTTCAAAGCCTCTCTGGTGCCTCCAGTTTCTTCTGTGGCCATGGACAAGTCCATTAGACTCAGGTCTTGGTGATGTCCTCACGTAGAAGTAGAAAAATGGAGGGGGAGGGCATGGGGAGAAAGTGATGAAGATGAAGATGAAGATCCAGCTCGTCCCTGGTCAGCATGAGGCTGCTGGGACGAGCAAGGCTTATCCCGTGGGCGCCCCGGTGCCG